TCCCCTCGAGATTAAGGGTTTAGTTTAGTTTTGTCTGCTGTATGCCACTAGCGTTGGCGCTAAAAAATTGAGTAAGTTGGGTAATTTAAAAATGATAAAAATTCCTTAAACATAACTTCTTTAGAACACTCCATGGTAAAATTAGCTCTACACTGACCGTACCAGACTCTAGCCGTGTGGGAAGGGGAGGAGGGTTAAATTCGTGCTATGCATCAGCTTCAAACCTTGCTTTGAACTATGTTAATTTACCCACAAACAACGAGACAGGAGGTGCTCACCGTAAATGGACAGTCTTGCCCTATCCCAAAGCTCGTAAATCACAATATTGGGGCGAAAAACGGTATCGCACGTTGAGCTGGTTGACGTCTTTAGATTTTATCTTTTTTTATTTTCTATTTTCCGTCACTGACGCCACTCCACGTTCTGTCAGATCCCGGCTTAATAAATTTTGAAAAGGCGTTTGAAAGGCTCCACACAATAGGTTAAATTAATCTGAGATCTAAGGCTTGTACAAACTTATGTTTGAAACATGTAGCCTTTTTTCTCATAGACGATAATCAGACAAACAGAAAAAAGTTTTGTGTTGTCCCGAACTTTGTTTAACAGGTTCTCGAAAAAAATATGTAACGAAATTTAATCACCCTTGAACGGGCAATGTGGAGTTCGGTTGGAAGGGATACTATCATTAACATTAAGGCATTTAAAAATAATGATATTACAGAAACCTAACTTCAAAAAATATTAAAAGAAAAACGATCACTTCTTCAATGCAGATGATACATTCTGACAAAAATTTAATTTTCTCTGAACATTGAATAAATTTTGAGAAGTTCAACTACTTCAAAGAGTTCAAATAGTTTGTGAGTGCTTTTTATCTAAACTGCAAAAAAAAATATTTTGTACATTCGGTGGTCGTTAGGCATTTTTGTAGTGTTTTGTTATAACTAAAGCTTCATTTGTCATCGAATTCCTCGAGTAACACTGCTGGCGAAAAGAGCTTTTGACAATGCACTAAAATAACCGACACTGCCACGACGGACAGCGGTATGTGGTAAGTGAGTGAAAGCCGGGTCAGAAATTTGGAACCTTGTCAAAATGAGACTTAGTACTCCAGAAATCCGAAATAGACCAGGGCAATTTAGCAAAAATCTTTACAGGAGCATATATTATTTTAAGTTTCAATAGATTTTTTATATGTTTTCAATTTCCATTTTCAATTATCATTCTTTGGAGTCATTGTTATTCTGGGATATATTCCAGGTACAGCAATTTTTGTTTTCTTAGTAATTAGTACAATTCTGTTTGACCAGCATTCGTTCCTTGCTTACGAAATCCTTAATATTCTAAAAAGTAGAGCAAAAGTAAAAAGTAAGTAACTCGATGGTATTTGCTGTATTTTTTTTATGAAAAACCTTGGTTTTGCTTATGAAATTTGTTATTTAATCCATTAAAATGTAATACATTTTAAGATTTTATCTTATAATAAATTTAGATTAAATAAAAAAAATTTAAACAAAATCAAGTCAAGAAAATGATATCAGCCAAGGGACCGGCACCAGAGTTGGTGATCATACGGCCTGTTCTACGGTATTTTCCATGACTCTTGTCAGAACTTCGGTCGACAGGTTCTCGCATCCCTGGCGAATATTCTCCTTAAGGGCTTTATTAGAGACTTGTTGACGTAAACTCACTATTTCAAAAAAACTTTATAAAAAGAAGTCTGAATTTGTTAAATCGGGTAATCTAGGCGGCCAGTGCAAATCAAGAAAAGATAGATTAACCATTCTGAAAATATTTCCTTAAGACTATCAGTTCTTGTACGAACAATGTGCGCCATTGCACCATCTTGTTTAAACTACATTATCTCCAGTGAACCACATGTAACTTTGGGCATGTGTAATGGCTCTTCTTGGGTGATAAACAAATTCTTAGTGCCCCAGAAATAATCATTTTGTTTATTAACGTAACTGCTAAGATGAAAATAAGCAAAAAATAATAATTTTCGATGAAAAATCGTCCTTGTCTTCGTTGAGATTCAGAATGGCTCGAGTGTAGGTTAGATAAGTTTGGTCGTCAACAGCTAACTGCTGATGCACTGTCTGGAAGTAAGGGAACGTCTTAAAATCTTTCACCAAAATTCTGCGTAGGAACCGCCTGTTGATGCCGAATTGCGTGGCACGTGGTCTTGTCAATGTTTCGGGCTCCTCTTCGACATCTTAGCAACAGCAGCCATATCTTCAGCAGAAAGGCTGTTCTGGGGCCATCGTTTCTCGTTAATCTCGCTATCTTAGTCTCTTTAAAGAGAGTGGCCAAACGCCACTCTCAAAGTGTGCCGGAAGTCACTAATGTTGATTGGTCGTTACATTCTAGACAATATTGAGAAATAAAACCAAATAGCTTATTTGTGCCGTATATAATATACATACGAGAAATAAGTACTATCTAGAGCTACGTAGGGCTAGTTTTACCAACTAAGAAATCAATTCGAATCGCTGGCAGCATACATATGTCATTGTCATACCCGGTATTTGTTCGTAGAAATAAAAAAAATGTCAGTACTAGTTACACAGTCACGGATTGTTAGGAATATTGTAAACAATTAAAATTGTTATTAAAGTTGAAGTTTTTATATTTGTTAAACTTGCTGAAACTGATAAGAATCGACAAAGTGCACACCTCGTTAAAAAGCAACTATTACAGCAGCGTCACATGATTATATATTTTTATATTAAAAACATAAGTAGAAATTGATACAGGGTCATTATTTGAATTGTTTAATAGTAATTTATTGGTTTAAGGTTTAGTTCTGGAAGTACGTATGTATGCAGAGCGTTAACATTTTAGGCCCATTGGTGGATGGATAATTTCTATCGTTTTCTGTTCTTAGCTAACAGCTTCCAATCTCTGATTCTCATCTCTCTGACAACTTCCATCACTACCTCTCTCTATTTCTTTCTTGGTTTTCCTCTTTTTTGCCCTCAGGTACTCTCTAAACAATATTCTTGACTAGTATATTACCTTACATTATTTCTAGACGTCCGAGCCATTCTAGTCCTCGTTTCACCACTTTTGTTATTGTATAGTTAGCATACAATTGGTACACTTCTGCATTAGTTCGTCTTCTCCCTTGTCCCCTTACTACTTTTCCACCAAACATTCTGCGAAGTATCTTTCTTTGTCATGCTTCCAATCGGTTGCTTATTTTTATATTACGAGATATATCTTTGGCCTTAATTATTTTGCTTATGACTCCAGCACACCTGTTGCTCTTGATCAGTCTCAGGTTGATTTCAGTTTCTTTTTTAAATGTCTGATCAATAAGAGTACCTAAATACATATTTGTCCACTTTCTTGAATTCTACAACTGATCCATGCTCCACCTCCAATTTAAAGGATTTTGCTCGAGATTTAAAAATATACTTAAGGTAAATCGCCTCATTTTTTAGCAAGGATCAGTGTCTGAGCCACCAGAACATTTCACTAGTACACTTTTTACTTTTGAATGTACTACAGTTGGTGACAGTTTAATGATATCGTCGATGGTAAAGCGGGTGTCGTCATCTATTTTATTGAGACAGAAAGAGAAAAATCCTTTTCACAAAAAAAACATTGTTCCTTTTATAATTTTTTATGTTAATTGTTTTATGTAGTATTTCGCGTCATGTTAATGATGCATAAATTTTGAAATTTGGAGAATGAATTATCAAAGTAGTCAAAAGAGTCGTACAACTCTGCTAAGGCATCACAATGTAAATGATCTAGCTCTCCCAAGATGATCCAGACCGTAGAATGGATGTCTACGAACAAATGATGAATAAACTGAATAGAAATGAAATAGCTGTTGTTAGAATTTTTTTCTGATGAATCAACAGTCACATTGAATGTGGAGATATACCTACAAAACTGTAGAAATTGGTTTGGAATTAGAGGAGAATTCTGATAGCATTCGTGAGACACATACTCAGTATTCTCAAAAGGTGAATGTTTATTGACGAGGCAGTCGAAGTTGTTCCTGCGTTGGCCAACTTACATCCCAACTTAGATCCGAACTTAACGACTGAAAATGTCTAGTTACAGCAGGACTGAGCAACATCCATTATACTTTAGTAGTAAGAATTTAAACGAAATCTCCCTCAATAAATGGATTTGACGAAGAGATACTATTGAGTGGCCAGCTATATAGCCAAACCTTATGCCCTTGGATTTATTTGTGAGGTTATCTCAAGAAAGTATGTGTAACACAACCAACTAGCATTGTAGCCCTGAAAGAAAGGGTAACTACAGAAATATATAATATTTCACCTCAATATTTAAGCAAAGTTCTGGACGAATTTTATAGGAGATTGTGTTATCACCGACAACAAGGTGGAGAACATTCTGAGCATTTGTTTCAATGTCTTGATGAAAATTATAAATATTTCCAAAACTTTATCCTAATGTTCGTATTGTTCCTAATAGAACGACACAATATAATTAGTTTGAGGTGTCTCATTAAAAGTAAATATCGACTATGCTAGACTTGTCTGAATCATCCTGTATATTTATATTTAAAAAGCTCACATTTGAGTTTAAAAATTGACGGATCGTAGCGGTTTTTTTTATAATAATATTCTTAAATAAGAACACAAACTATTTGATTGCCTAAGTGTATTCCACACTGTTGTATATGGTGATCATTAATTACTAAAATTACTTGTGTTCGCAAAATTTCGGTGACACACTTTTTTCTATTTCTGAAATTTTTATTCTACTTTAAAATTAAAAGAGCGTTGACGAACTGATACAAATTGTTTAGAACTGAATGACATTTTTACTGGTCTATAAGCACTTGGAAAATGCCAATAGCGTCTCTTCCAAACATTTGTCGTCTACGGTGTGTGTGTATAATTAACGGGGTATTTATAGTGCAAGGGCAACGATCAACGATGGCGTGGCTTGGTTGATATAGCAGCGGAGAAACAAACGCACATCACGCTGTTCTAAGCGCTTCACAGAAAATGTCAGTGATTTGTTTCAGCCATTCTTTCGCTTGTCACCTTGTCGGATGGATGCGACCTTCTTGGAATCTACAAAGAGATTTATGGATGTGGTCTCATTTATATCACAATAAGTAATTCGACTTACTATAAATTTACTAAATACTGTTGTGACTTTGATCGCCGTGGCCTAAATCACTTCAAAGCTAACATCGCTGAAAGTACACCACCAAAAAATCTTCAGTTTATATTCTCTAACTAAATAAACGATTAACGATTATATTATATACAAAACGTTAAATGTTGCCAAAAAGTAGATTGTGGTCAGAGTCAGTAGGATGGTTTTACACTTTGAATTCCAAGTCTTTTGTTTATAAGAACATCATATAAACCGTTTAATACTACTTACTAAAATAAAGGGATGCCAGATTGCAGATAATAACCATCTCCCGTTTGTACTTTTTGGATTCTTCTTATTTTAAGTTCTAATCTTTATTGGATAGAGTATATACGTCGGTTGGCATATGAAATAGAAGGCTTTAATCAAATATGGTTTTACTGATATCGAAGCATTTCAATATATTTTATTATTAAATAAAATAGATTTGAATATTTCCCACCATCTTATCCCAGAGAACCCACAGAAAAGAAATGGTATATACAACAAAACAATAAATGCAATGTAACTGTAGTGGTTCTTCTTCTTCTTACGGTACCTATACGTTCTTATCCGGATGTTGACAATCAGCATAGCTATCCTAACCTTATTTGCAACTATTCGGAAAACTCCGGTTGGAGACGTATTGCACCACTTCCTTAGGTTTTGAAGCCAAGATATTCTTCTTCTCTCTGGTCCTCCCTTTCCAAATACCTTGCCCTGAAGAATGAGTTGCAATAAATTTGAGCTCTTTGATTGTGTTAGTGATCTTACATTCCTTGCCTATTCTACGTAGGACGTAAATATTAGTCACACGATCTACCCATGAAACTAATATAGTAAGATGCGCCTGTAACACCACATCTCGAAGGCCTCGAGCTTTCCTATAAAGGCTACAGAGAGCGTCCATGAACTCGGTATAATAATGTATAAATTACATAGCATCTGATGATAGAGATTACAAAGGACAGGAATGGCCATACTGGACATAGAAAAAGCATACGATACGGTTTGGAAAAAGGCTTTAATCTTCAAGATGGACAAAGCTGTACTTTCTCATTACTTAATTAATATTTGTAATATGTATTTATCTAATAGAACTTTTCAAATTTCAAGAAATCCAGGAAGGGATGCCACAAGGCAATATTCTTTGGCCCATTTTATACAATATTTTGGTTTCAGATCTAACAACTGATCTAAAAACTTCTACAGCCCTCTACGCGGATGATACAGTAGTGTATGCAACAGAAAATGATGACAGAAGAATCATTAGGAATATGGAAAACAACCTTAGAAAAATCACGGAATTCACGGACAAATAGAAGACAAAAATCAACGCAGAGAAGACACAATTCATCATATTCACACAGGAACACAACCCACCAGTGTACGAAATAACAGGAGGAGAAAACAGGATCCAAGCAGGATATTCAGTCAAATACCTAGGAGCCCACCTCGACAGAAAACTAAACTTCGGGTTGCATACACAAAAAACCAAGGTAAAAGCCAATGCTGCTAAAAAACTAATACTTCCTTAAAATTTTAGGACCAGTCCACTAACAAAGGCCAAGAACTAGGCCTACTGTACCAGGCCTACGTTAGATCGGTGATATTGTATGCAATCCCAGTTTGAAGTTCAATAGCGGAGACCAACTGAAGGAGATTTGAAGCGACAAAAACATCATGCTACAGGATTAGTGACGGATCAACATGGAAAGATAGATTCTTACCTTTACAGCATTACCATCTTTAGTTTTTCTAGTAGCTGGTAATCTGGGTTCCTGTTTGGCATTCTATGCCTTCAATGGCAATCTGCCTTTCATCTGCAAATTTTACTTTCACATATTTCTTCCAAGTGTCTAGTCTCTCTTCCACACTTGGTAGTGGATTACCTTAGTTGTCTGCCAAACATTCAACTCTTCTAGGCTAGTATAAGCTTCTCTAACTGGAGTGGTTAAAAAGTAAATTTTCATTCGTTGATTAATAACAAATAAAAAATGAACTCATATAGATAAAAAAGTAATGTTAAGAAACAATTGGTATATCTCTATAATACATTCTTTTTAAATCTTGAATAAACTCAAATTAGCGGTTGTCAAAAAATTTTAGCTCTAAGCAACCAATAGCAAGGTTTCTATAACATTTAAGAGGAAAATTCCCAGTGGTTGGTTGTTTTTTACAAAAGAAGTTTATACTTCATTGTAAGTTTTTATAACACTACGACACTAGACGACACTCCCTTCTTCTAGAGCACATATTTGATTCACTAAATTATAATTGTAAAAGATACTTTACATAAAGCTATTGTGACTGTAGAGAAACTTTATAATGTATTCTTACGCGAAAAATTTTAAAGTTACTAGATAATATCTCCAATGACACGATACATTAAAAAAAAAGACGAACCAATTTTGAAAATAATTGAACTCGAACTTTGTGAAATTATCTTAAGAAATCAGCAATTACAAAATATCCATTTCAAAAGCATCACTTTATGTTAAAGAAGAAACTAATAGATAGAAAGTGCAAAATCACGTTGGAATGTAATACTTACGACATCTGGAGTGCTGGCGCCATCTGTATGCGACGTAGAATCAGCGTTGCTCCTGGTGCCACCGTCTCCGTTGGTGGAGCCCGTTAGCTCAGGGGGCTTGCCACCGTCCCTTTCATCTATCACCAGGTCTATGGGCATTTTACCCTTTAGACAACTTATATACCTGTGGCAGAAATTGTCACATAGTTCATGAACCTGTAACAAAAAAATACAATTCATATCGTAATTTTTATAGTTAATAAACAATATATTTTTTATATATTCGCATAGTAGCACGTATTATGCACTCTAAGAAAATCTTAAGTCCGTTTGAAAAGCGACTGATTAAAATACATATTTCACTAGTTCGAAAAACAGATCGATTTTCTGAGGTTTTCAGTCTCGTTGTACAATGATCCTTTTTTTTAAGTGAGGTTATAGCCATCTATAAACCACTATTAAAGGTAGTGAATAAGATTCGTGTGACTTAAAGGGCTATCGACCCCATGTTGGAGTTTCTCTGAGAGACCGAATCCCAAACGAAAAAATATATGTGGTAGAACAAATACAACAGACGCCATCAAAAATATCACGTCGCTAAAATGGAACTGGTCAGGACACGTAGCCAGATTTTCAAACCGATAGATAAAACGTATTGTTGAGTGGAGACCAACTAAGACAAGAAGCATTACGGACCAGAGGACGCCCACCAACTAGATGGACTGACGACCTGAAGCGTGTTACCAATAACTGGATGCATGCCGCACAAGAGAGAGACAGGTGGAAAGAACTGAGGGAGACCACATACAGGTTGATGATGATGATAGCTACAACTACCCTACTCGCGTGGTTAAAGAAGAAATAACAATTTTGAAAAGGTCCATTTGCTTTATGGTGTATCCTGAATTTTAATTATGACTTCTATAATTCAGCGCCTCTGCCACCTGACTGTCTTAAAGAGTCTTTAAAAGTCGAATACAAGAATCTCCCCAGTTTTCAATTATCCCTTTTAGACATAGATTTTAAAGAATAAAGATTTAAAGAAAGCATTCGACAGAGTACAATTCAAAAATGTAGTTTCATCTTTTCAAGAAGTTAACACAGTTGTAAACTTCTATTAAGACAACAATCATATGATCTATCGTGAATGGTACATTATTTTCAAGGTTTACAAGGCTTGGTTTCAAATTATTACTTTCTGACTCATCGTCTTTGATAATGTTTATTGCAGTTGTAGACGATACGTCAGTAAGGAAAAATTCCAAACCTTGGTCTATAAACATCCAAAACATTATGTTGAAAAGCCTAAATTTCTTGATTGTTTTTTAAATGATTTTCCTAAAAGTTATTAAGTAACCCTCATACCAAATGTTCCATGAAAGAACAAAAATCGAAAAGTGTGTTTACTACGTAACATACAAACGATTGAAGAGTAAACTGTTGTATAAATATTAGCTTTAAAATGGATGGATGAAACATTTTAGTCGTTTATATTGTATTTGCAACATGTGTCTTAATTTAAGTTGCTTATTGTATTGAATTACCAAGAAAGTAGTTAAGTATATATACGGAGCAGTCCCCGTATGCTACGCCATTGCGCGAAAAATAAAAATAAAATAGTTAGGATTCCTGGAATGGGCAAAATATGGTAGTTAATGATTGTATGGGTATTTTTTCGGAGTTAATTCTGTGATTCTCAGTATTAAAGCCGACATGTAAAAATATGGAAATTGCGGCATAGAATGCGACTCGATCGAACTCCGATGGCCATCGTATCGCTTTTGCATTTCACATACACATTTAAATTGCTAAAAGGGGACACTATCAACCTGCACATCTCTCTTTCTTCTTCTTTTCAACTATGTCTCCTGCTCTTTCTCTATTTCGCTCTTACTTGCCAATATTATAATCTGCAAATGCGTAGAACCGGTTGTCTATAGACGACCAGCGACCAGCCATCTTGGATGGCACAGGGATAGTAGAACAACTATACATAAGCAATATCAGTTCTTTAATGCCGAAAGATATTACTAACATGTAATACTAACATCCACATATTTGAGCGTATTAACAACCGGTAAAACGTTTTAGTGGAAGGTAAATATCTTATATATGATAACTGCACATTTATGTAAGTAGTTTAATAAATGTGCGTTCAAATTTTTACATAAATATATAAATAATTACCTCAAAATACTTCGTTAACATTGTTGCCACAATAAATGAGAAAATATAGCAGATGTACAGAATTTTAACTGCATATTCTTCTTCTTCTTTATTTATTTCTAGACAAATCGTCTACATTGTCGCTCCACCTTTTTGGAGTGGACCTGTGCTTTTTCGTCCCGTGTCAATTTATCTCGAGCGATTCTCGCTATTCTTGTTTCTTCCTTTCCACTAATTTGTTCATATCGTCTCTCTCTCTCTCTCTCTCTCTCTCTCTCTCTCTCTTCAGTCCTGACACCCCTGAGGAGGTGTAGTGGTCATCGTGATGTCGTGTATCGTCAGTCTCCAAAGATTTCTGTCTCTGATCATTTCTTTTAACTCATGCATATCCTTTGCATGATCCATCTTATTGGGGATCGTCCTCGTGATCTACGGCCTTCTACCATTCCTTGGATAATAAGTCTTTTCATGTTTTCTGTGTCTGCTCTCATAAAATGTCCAAAGTATCTTAATTGCTGAAGATGTACTTTGCTGGAGAGATGTTTGCTGATGTTCAGCTCATTTAAAATTGAATTATTTGTCATGTGGTAGGTCCACGGAATTCAGTCGTACGGTCCAAGATTTATATCCAAATGTTATTATAGTATTAGGAATATTAAGCAGGATATCGTCTATCCTACATGTATTCCTTATGTTCCACTCGTTTTCCTATCTAGAAGAGTCTTTCCAGTTATGTTACGAAGTTGCTTCATTTCTGTTGTTTCAATCAATCTTTTGGTTTTTGTTGTTTCTAGTCTAGTTTCCGAAGCGTATGCCATTATAGGCCTTACAGCAGCTTTGAATATTCTTAATTCAGCCTCAATGCTGTTTTTACAAAGCCATATTTGCTACATAAAGATATTGCTTGTGTTCGGCAACCAACGCCTCGTCATCTGCATAACACAAAAATATTTTAATCTCCTTTTTAATATCCCATCCTATGTCCTATAATTTTGTGCTTTTGGAATGAATTTGACCTAATTTAATAATAAAATCAAGTTACTGCTCGATATTTTGACTAATCCTTGTTTAAGAACGAAAGTCTTTACACAATCTCTTAAACTTTATCAAAAGCAACCACTTGAAAATTATATCATCGAAAAAACACAAAAGAAAAAGATAGTATCTTATCAAATAATGCTATCATTGAATCACACTCACTCAACGCATACACTTGGAAGATGCTGTTTTAAATGAAGTGTTTTGCTTAATCCTTACAAAGTCCAAGCCGTATTTAAATGGCGTCCACCAACAGACCTTGAATAATCCCCTCATATGAAAAATGCTTGACTTTCTTCCATCAGTAAGTCCAATTAAACAGGTTTCCTAACTGGGTTATGAAACTAAAATCACTCTAGACAGGGTTAGAATGTAAGTGAAGTGGAAAGTTTAGAGCCACAAATAAAGAAAGTTTTCTACACATCTACAAATCTTGCATAAGACCGATCACTGAATACGTTACTCCCATGTACTCATTGCTGAAGGGAATATAGAGTGCCAAAGTGAACCGCTACCTCTCAGCTCTCATATAATAACTATTACTATCCGAATAATTAAGCAAGAAATTCGTTTTAGGTAGTATTTAGTGCCCCAAGTAGGAATTAAAAACGTCCTCCAAAGCCTAGTTACTCCAAAGCAAAACTACTCTTACCTTTCCTCACTAAAACTTTGCTGACCTCAAACAAGTACTTTAATGTTCTTCTTATCTATGCTTTCTCTATCTTATTGTTCAACACTAACTGTGCTAGGTGTGATAGCCACAGCTACTATTAATTTCTATGTCAAATACTCACATATACCAACAATTCTGAGGAGTTTCTCTTGCAATTAAGCTTGAATTAACCACCCTACTGTCCCAGACGATTCCAGATCCTCAACCGACTTTAAATGTCGAATTCCTCACACTCGAAATATCACATCAAATATTACCCCAAAAAGAAAATTGACATCTATAAATATATGGTGACTATTCACTCCGAATTTGGGTAACTAATACGGCAATTCTCACTTTATTTACAGCTGTACTTTTGAAAACGTGTTTTAAGTATAGTTTAGCAGTTAATGAAAAACAATATACCTATCATTTTATTGATCTTCCTTTACCAAAGAATTACTGAGCAGGGTTTCTTTGTCCTCATAACATAAATCAAATATTGTAGTTTTTGATTTTTGATTGTTATACTACCCCTAGTTCTTCAATATTTGTAACACTTAAATGTTTATGGTTATATCTATATAAAGAATACTACCCCTAGTTCATTAATATTTGTAACACTTCAATGTTCGTGATTCTATATATCTAAAGGATCGCCAAAATTCGTCTAAAGCTTAAATTTTTTCATAGAAGCTTTTCCAAAGTGGTCAAATCCGTAATGTGTAACTGGAATACTTAGCATCTAAGTAGACGAATTTTGTAGATATGGATCGCTGATTCTAAATATATTTTTGATCATGGTGAATGTTACCGTGGACTTTTCCACTCATCTTAATGGTCGTATTTATTATTTATGCTGGTTTCCTGGGGCCTTGTTACTAATTTTTGGTTGACCAAAAAGTGAATACTTGGCATTAGCTGTTTGCTAATAATCATGGATTTTGTTTTGATTACGTTAAGATGTTGTACCACTTAATATTTGTTATTAAATGATTTATGTTGACTGTAGCGGCCCGGCAAGTCATTTTTCTATTTCCATATCCTAGTCCGTTTTCTCGCTATGTTCTTCTTCTTCTAGTGCCGACTTCACGAATGAAAATTGGCTATAACCATTTACCTTTCATAATCAGCTGCAAAAAGTCGTACTTCTTATTTCTAAGTATGTACCTGAAATATGCTGTCTTTCACCATTTTTCAAGTTCAAAAAAATAATCTTGAGAAGCTGGTAATAGAGACAAATGTGAAAGGTGAGAAAAGATAACATACATCTTTTATATACATCGTTATTCTAATATCAGAATGTGTTAGAACGACAGAAAAAAAAAGTGTAAAAATGGTTTTTTCGATAAACAGTGGTCAATTAATCTATAGTCTGGACTTCCCTAACCTCACTTTATTTAAAACATTGCTCGATATTTTTGTACAAATATTATTCAAACCGGTTGATTTCTAGTACCGATCAGATATAACATTGACTCAAATCGACAAAGAAACGGTGGTATGTATAATGTTTGAATAAAATACACATAATGAATACAAATGTAATTATAAAAGAAAAGTTTAGAAGTCGTCCATGATGCAGAAACAATTTCATCTCGGTAAAACAATCCCATGCAAACAAGTCTTGCGAATGAGGTATACCGCTTGAGGTGGACAATAACAACGATAGTTACTGCTATTGTCTGTACAATCGATCAAAATTCCTATCACGCCATAATGAACAGCCCATTAGTTGGTCACGACCGCAGAGCGATTTTTTATCGACCATCATCCATCGAATGAAACACTCTTCGGCGTTTAAGAGCTCAAGAGAACCGGAGAGAGTCCAACGCTATATGCACTATGTAGATGAACAACAAAAATGGTTTCTAGATGCGATATGCATAACATGCTAAAGGTCAACTTGTCGCTGATCTGTTTTCTGAGAGAGTTTCTTTATAAAATCTACTTTAAATAAATGTTTATCAGCATATATATATATATATATATATATATATATATATATATATATATATAATATCTAACAAAATATTGGATTATTCAGATTTTTTTAGTCACTTTTTATCATGTTTTCACTTGTTTTTCGTTAATATTTAATTTTTAGTCAACTGTTAATTTATTTCCCGTCATGTCATTTTTTTTAAATACCCCTTTTCTTGTTTAACTGATCTAGTAGACAGTTAATTTGTTAATGGCAAAATTACTTGAGCAAATCAAAAACATCTACTAAAAAAGCCCCATTAGTGTTTTCCCGTCGCTAAATTACTTCGGGTTTTAAAGTTACTTCGGGTATAACTGACGAACTTCTCATTTACCGAAAGAATGTCCAAACAAATTACCGTCATCTCGATAATATTTAAACTTCCAGCGCCATTTTCTTCCTAACGACTTTCCTAAGTGATTAGATATTGCGAGAGAGCATGCACTTGGGCCGCCATTGAACCAATTTTAGAGGACATGGTGCGAGAGACGCTGCTGGGATGGATATTTTGGCAATAATGGGTTGTTAGACTGTCGCTTCTAATTAGGCTGCAGAGAAAAAGTTAACAGCGGCAGAATGCTATTTTTAGATGAAGAATTTTTGTAATTTTCTCTTTGTATCATGTTGTACAAAACACATGATCTCCAACTAAATGAATAAATGGGTTGATAGTATAATTGATCAGACTCAGCAACGTATTTACCAAAAAAATTAAAATAAAAACTGGAACATAAGCTAAATGCAATCAAATTTATAGAAAAATCTTTTAGAAAATTGTTTAATTATCATTTTATGAACCGTTTTCAATGTTTAATAGTTATGTTATTTTCTTCGTTATCTTAGCAGCCAATTTATTAGTAGATAAAATACAAAATAAATAATATGGTTACATAAAAAACATGACAAGCAAAACTATAAGATGCAGATGTAAAAAGACAACCCCAGCCAGTGATATAGTCAAGTTACAAGAGTTGAGAAAGACAAACCAACGAGAATTACACTAAAGGGAAGCCAGTCAGATAAGATGGGCAAGGTCATCTGGTAAGATAAGATGAAGACAGAGTTCTAAAGACAGTATTTTTTTGAGAGACCAGACTGTAGACGGATCAGTAGACCGTCCCAAAAAATGATGTTAGCCGATTTTTCAAGAATTGGAATACAACCTAGGATAGTAGAACCTGGAGGGCTATAGTGGATGCCGTGAAGACTTACCTCGAGTTGTAAAGCCAGTCAAGAAAAAGAAGTAGATCCTAGTTATAGTGTATTTTTATGTATGAGAGAGTAATAAAACAATAAATTATGTATGCAAATCCCTAAACTGTTGATACGGGTGACTCAATGAAAAACAGATATTTGTCAACAAGTTTA